AAAAATGCAAGAAAATCAGAAACTTCATTCAAATTTTAGAGAGAAATAGAAAGAAATAAGCATGAGCAGACGGATATTTCAGGTGGGAAAGTACCAAGTGGATTATCATCACTTATAGGCTGATCAATCGTGTTTAACAAGAAAATGTTGAATTTTAACCCCAAAAATACTTTTGATGATGCAAATAATGGCTCAGTGTAAATGTATATAATTTGTTAGATTTTATCAGTTAACAGAGAAGAAAAATCATTTTAAGTTACGCTTAACGTCAGGAGCAGAAGTTTGAGATGTCAAATGAAGGATTTTGTACAAACCCATTTTGTTTATTTTTCTGATTTACTGATTACTTAAAGATTCGGGTTAATCGCCAACTAAGAAAAATTAGCAGAGTTTAGATGGGGAATTTCTTTATTTTAAATGTATGTTATTGTGTTCCTTGATGTTTTGATTTATGGGCATATGAAAAGAACACTAAATATTTGACTGTTACCTTTAGTGTTACTTGGATCCAGGAGTCAAATAAAACCGATATAAACAATACAAAAATTGAAAAATTAAAACGCTTAAGAAAATAAAGGTAGAGAATAAAAAGAAGAATTGAAATCAAACTCCTATAAGAATCTAAAAACTTATATATCAAATAAGGTCAGGAATTCCAAGAAAAGAAATTCAAGTTATATTTTGGGCTTGTGGTTTGCTCAAATGGTGTTGTGTGTTTATAAATAATCTTGGGGTGGCATGCACACTTTTTAATGTTTACAACTTCTATAAGGTCTGTTAAATGTAAATTGATAACTCTTTGATCAAAATTATCATGATATGCTTGTTTTAAGATGTAAAATATTGAGGTAAAGAGTGAAATTAGCAAGGAATAAAGTAAACAGGCATGTAGTCAACACTCTAAATTGTATTAAAATGAAAAAATTGAATTACTTTATTCAAATTTTAGGGAGAAATAGAGTTGAATAATGATGATAAGATTAATTTAATTATATTTATTCTGAGTTCTAATTAAAGAAACCCCTTCATCTTAAAATGCCAGTTTACTATTGTATTTATTTTAAATTCCTATTTAAGAAACCTTTTATCTTTTCCTGTAACTATAGATTGTGTTTTTGAATGTTTTGATATTTTCTAGGGTCTGGCATATGTCTTTAAGCTCTCAATATATGTATTAGCTAAACAAATTACTACAAATGTAGAGGTGGGATATATCACACACGAAGATTGCAGAGTGAATTAAATATCATGCACTTATCAGAGGTCATATTTTAGGTTCTACAGGTACAATGCAATAGACAAACCCAGTAAAGACCCGCCATCTATATTCTATATGTGTAAAAAAACATCCATCATCTAATTTACATTAGATTTTAATTTATGTTGGATATATACAGAGGACCTGTCTAACCTGAACGCTACTTGATCAGCCAAACGTGCTTAGATTGATCACATTTCAAAGTTTGTCAAGGGAGGTGTTCAAATTAGAAAAGTGTTTTGATATACAAGTTTCACTGTATGTTATAGAAAAAAGACTGCAGATGAACTAATAAAGCAGTGATCTCCCCGGGATTTTGTCTCGGGTGTATGCAAAATTCTTATGTCACAATTAAGACAAAAATTGGTCAAAATATGCAGATATTTCATGATTTTTTTCTCATTTTTTTCAAGTGGGTACAAATGGATTTTCAGGTATGTGCAAGCCTATTTTCAAAATCTCAGGTGGGTGCTGCGTGCACTTGCTTTAATGCTGGGGAGATCACTGTAAAGTGTGTTTTTCTCATGATGCAGAGTGTGGGGGAGTACAAAAACAAAAGGATATGCTAAACATAGAATTTTTTGAGCCGTTCATGCAAAACAATGATTGATGTTCTCGATTTCGTCAATGTTCTAATTTGGTACTAATGGCAAATCAATAGATGCACTCTATGAAAACTTAAGTACAAATGACGCAAAATGTCCATGGGGGTTGCATTTTAAAATTTAAATTAGAGTGAAAAAGAGTGGAATTAGCAAGGAATAAAATAAACAGGCATGTAGTTAACATTCTAAATTGTATTAAATTGCTAAAAAATTGGACACTTTATTCAAATTTTAGAGAAATTTGAGTGGAAAAAGATGATCAGAGATTTTTTACGAGACCATAATGGTGTCAATCAAGCTTCCCACTCACTTGTGTTAAGAATCCTTTTGTAAGACATTGACAAGCTTTTTATCCTTTTATGAAAACATGATTACATTATCATTACCCTTTGTGTCTGTTTACCTTTCATAAAAATACTATGGCCTTGGGTAATTTAATTTGAACCCAGATTACCCTTGTTTTCTTTTCATACTGAAACCTTGTTGGTTTGATTAAAATCTTTCATTTTTCAGAAGAGGAACTAAAGTAAAATATGTCCAGTTGTTTTTCAAAACAAATCTGGTAAAAAGAAAAAAATTACCAATCCACCCACTGCACAGATATCAAATCATAGCCTATTTTGGAGCATTATTACGTTCAAAAAACTATATTTTGATAATATTTAGATCATTTGGTACTCTGTTACTCATCTCAGGAAAAATCTGTTAATTCTTCAAAATGGAGGTAAAATTAGCTTCAGGTGTTGTTGTGTTTTTGATGCACCCCCGTTCAAAATATTTCACGCTAGCTTTACTGTTTTAATCATTTGTTTGATTAGTTTAATTGGTTGCTTACTTGATGTATTTGCATATTTGTATAATAAAGTATATGATTAAAATTCATAACCATTTTTCCTCAGAATTCCTCCTTTTCCATAATGTTTCACATTTAAAGGTGAACAACTTGTTATTTTTATTCATAGGTACCTTTCTGGCAGTTGCACTGCCCAATTCCCATGCCTACCCTGCCACCCCCAAATCAAATGAAATGATTGTCATGTTTTAAAACATGGATTTTTGTAAGAAATAGTGAAATTAGCAAGGAATAAAGTAAACAGGCATGTAATTAACACTCTAAATTATATAGAAATGCAAGAAAATCAGACACTTTATTCAAATTTTTAAGAGAGAAAGTAGAAAAAGTATAAGCAGACGGATATTTTCGATAACAGCCATTGTTTATTTTCTAACAAGCTGGTAGCTTTCAGTGCACATCTGGCATACGGGTGGCAGCCAATCCAAAAAAAACATAGAAATGTACAAATAAATGTATTATTAAAAACTTGTGCTTCTTGATTTGTACAGATTTGTGCAGAATTACTACTGAGTACGAAATAAGGTTGCAGTAGATAATACATCTAGTATTTTTAATCTCCAAAACTGGACCCACATCAAGGTAGACCCATTTCTGCAGATTTTCTTTTGTCAAATGGAACCCACATCCAGGGATTTTCAGTGAAAAAGCGACTCACTTTAGCCCATATATGAAAGTACATCAGTACCCCCCTGGTTTCTCCTGGCAGTCAGCATCTGTAACAAATGGCAGGTGGTGACATTTTTCATGTTAATGCCAAATGTTTGAGACTGTTATTGCTTATCTCAGGTAGACCCTCCTCCAATACAGCATCCTGGAAGTTTTTTTTAAATCATGTATATATTGTTGGACATTTTCAGGAACACATTGTAAACTTATATTTTGATTAAATATTTGCTGCATGGAACTTATCATTTGGTTGACAGTTTGAATGGTCAAGGAACAACTTGTTTCATCTATATGGGTTTTGTTATGAGATTTATGGGTTTCTTCCAAAAAGTTGAAACTCAGGCATCAAAAAGATGTTGACAGATTAATAGTTTTCCTCACCCAGTGGTTTAATGAGATTAGAGATTAGAGCTGGGAACAAAGAACGCTCAACGCAGAGTTTCAGTGATCCAGCCAGTGATAGATAAAACATTCCCTCTGACCGGGTCATAGCTTGCGAGGTGCCCTGGGATACTGGGGTCAACTTCCAGAGTCTGGGGTTTGCATCAGCCAGCTGAATCGCTGATCTGCTCTGTGTTGTTGTAAGGCCATTAATCATTTTGATCACTGGTCACTTTGAGTTTAAAAACCTGCACTGGTAAAGAATTGGACACTTTTCGGCTTGGATTTAGATTGTGAAGATGTATTGTAATTTGTAACTGTTTGGACTAAACTTCAAAATTATTAAATAAAGTATGAGTATTAAGGAATCGACTTGTTTGTCATTCTTTACAAAATTAGATAAACTTTTAATAATGAATTGGACCGACCCAGGGGTCCAACACTGGTGGCAGCCTGGTGGAATTTTATATAACATTTCGTAAGGATTTCTGGAGACTTATAATTACGGACTTTAACATGCTTTTAATTGAAAAACGCTACCGAATTCAGTGAATGTATTATTTAGGATTGGAACTGATCAAATTGATCTATTGATTCATAAACAGATGGAATTGGAATATTTAGATCTGGAAATATGATGTAAACAAGAAACTAAGATTGAACATTATTTTGAGTTGCTTTGATTGAGGTAAACAAATGGACTTACTGACAATTGCTTCAGTTGCTGTTTATCAGCAAGCCAGCTGATGAACTTTCAGTGACCATTATTTTGTTTTGTAAAATTTGAACTTGGAAAATTTTGAGAGAAAAGCAGGAAAAAGTATGGCTGCTTTGGAAGTGTTCTAAGAGATTGTTGTACAGGATTAGGATGCTATTATTTTGAGACAATGCTGAACAATTTTATCAGAACTGAAAACGAGTTGTCAGGCTCATGTATTTGATGTTGGATTTGATTGGACGGACCCGGACATTTCTCAAAGTTAAAGGATATATTCTTGTGAACAAGTTAGACTTTATGACTTTTGAAAAGAAGTACTCGTTTTATGTGTTTACATATCTGAAGATGTCAACTCGGGATATGAATTGCTTCGATATCCAGCTTCACATAGTTGTATGGACTCAGAGACGAGATATTGCATAACCATATAGTCGATTTATATGTGATGTCGATTAAGGAACAATCACTGTGGTATCAGAGATGTTAAGTGTCTCTGCTTATTATGACTTTTGTTTCGAGGACCTTGCATCATGGAGATAGCAATTTGATATCTGGGATATAGAAGTTGCTTCCTGAAGACCGATAACAATGAGAGGGCACATTCCTCATTGTACAGGGATTTTGAGTTTTATTGTGCTACAGCAGGTAGAGACATGTAAGCTGGTGGTTCTTGACAAGTCGTTACACTTGTAGAATTCGTATATCAGCCCATATCTTGTAGAAAGGCATATAGACGAGTATGCCTATACCTGACTTTTGTTGGTGACTTCAGCCAAGGGAAAGCTGAATGTGTAGCGTATTGCGGTACCCAAGTTCCAATCACGCAGATGTGATTGATGATCGATTTCCGGAAATATTGTGTTTTTACTCAGATAAGAGGGCCCAGAGACTATCTGAGTGTTAGGATGAACTGTATATCTACTGATGGTGATATGTGTTATACAGAGATGATATTGAGGGACAATTAGTGTGACAGTGTTTAGTGTATCCTTGTTGTTGGCAAGGGCTGTTTTCGTATAAGGTTCTAAGGCTTTAGAATGCAGACTCTCAAAAGGTGTGTTTCGTGCACATGTGACACATCTCGATGCAGAGTAGCCAAACAAAGACACAACTAATAACCTCAGCATCAGGTATGTGAAGACTTAATGCAGGGAGAACAAGGATTATGTCTGTGATACTGATGCGATCACTTGTTTTGAAAAGACAAGCTGTGGTTGATTTATTAACATGTGTAGCTGTCATCTCTCGTATGATGCAAGATTCTGAATGGCCATTTTGGAGTACGGGTATAACGTGCAGTGATTCGTATTTTGGGAGAGTAACCTAGCTGTTGGGTGAAGGGCCCCTTTGAGAACACTGAAATATCACGATACTGTGTAAGGATCTTGCATGTGACATTGATTGACTAAAGTGCACATTGAATTGTTTTGGAGAAGCAGAGAAAAGCTGTAATTGATGTTTTGACAATTTTGGTTGTAGTTTTATTTAAGGAAATATTTTTGACATTTATTTCTAATGATTTTGCAACTTTGTGCAATGGAAATTTACTGTTTCCTTATTTGATTGTGTGCCCTTAGATTTTATATAGACAATTTTATATTGTGTTTAAATGACCTTAAGTTGGCACAGTGAGGACATTAGAAGACAGTGCTCTGGTAAATTGGTAATAGATCCCTGAAACTGAACATACTTGTTAAAGATAAAGATTTTATCCTAATTGACCCACCATTGTACAGGTGGAAGAATTGAGACCTTCAGTGAATGTTGTTAAATGGTGATTTGACATTTAAAGTGGTAATAGCCTAAACTTCTATTGTAGATTGTTTAAAGATGCAGATGTAATTTTTTTACTTAAGTTGTACAATTTGAAATTGATATATTGTTTTTTATGTGTGACAGTTATTAGTAACAATTGTAAGGTTTCAATCAGTGTAAAATTTCCAGGAGTAAATTTGAACTGGGAAGGGTGGTGTGTTGGACATTTTCAGGAACACATTGTAAACTTATATTTTGATTAAATATTTGCTGCATGGAACTTATCATTTGGTTGACAGTTTGAATGGTCAAGGAACAACTTGTTTCATCTATATGGGTTTAAAAGTTCAGTATGTCATGTTATGAGATTTATGGGTTTCTTCCAAAAAGTTGAAACTCAGGCATCAAAAAGATGTTGACAGATTAATAGTTTTCCTCACCCAGTGGTTTAATGAGATTAGAGATTAGAGCTGGGAACAAAGAACGCTCAACGCAGAGTTTCAGTGATCCAGCCAGTGATAGATAAAACATTCCCTCTGACCGGGTCATAGCTTGCGAGGTGCCCTGGGATACTGGGGTCAACTTCCAGAGTCTGGGGTTTGCATCAGCCAGCTGAATCGCTGATCTGCTCTGTGTTGTTGTAAGGCCATTAATCATTTTGATCACTGGTCACTTTGAGTTTAAAAACCTGCACTGGTAAAGAATTGGACACTTTTCGGCTTGGATTTAGATTGTGAAGATGTATTGTAATTTGTAACTGTTTGGACTAAACTTCAAAATTATTAAATAAAGTATGAGTATTAAGGAATCGACTTGTTTGTCATTCTTTACAAAATTAGATAAACTTTTAATAATGAATTGGACCGACCCAGGGGTCCAACAATATTTCTCATTTTATTACTTTGTATATATCAGGTCATTTTACAATATTTGTGAAAAATGATACAATTTCAATTCTTGAACATTATTACAATAGTTTACAAATATAATGTACCATAAGTTGCATCCTGGAAGTTAGATCATGGATACCACCTGTATTTTGATAATGATAAATATTAGATGTAAACCTTCCTGCTTGGATGATGTCCTCAGAAGTCTGCAAAGGATCATCTGCGATCCAGATAATCTCTTGTTTTCCCTTAATTGATCCATCTACCTTTTTGCTATCTAAATAAATATCAATGGCATTTAATTCAAGTGGCTAATTTGGGCTGCTATAAATTGATTTTTTATTGTAATGTCACCATAATCAATTTCTTATTGCTATAATTATTGTTTGGTGAATGGTGTTTGGAATTTTGTGTTCTGTATTCGGCATTTGCATCAGTAACTACCTGTAACAAATAGTCACATTTCGTCTTTGGAACCAAGTGTGACATTAATGCCTTGTTTGGTTTTTGCCTTGTTTGTGTATTGATTTGCAAATGTTGCAAATGTTATAATGGCACACAAGTCAAACCATGCAACTAAAGTTTTTCATTTTTAATAACATCCTCGTTGAAGCTTTATGTCAGATATAGGGAACTTTCAGATCTATTTCAAGGTCAGATGATATATGAAGTTGCTACTCCTCAACATAAAGGTCCATTGTCTCCTAAAGGAGAAACCTCATGGCTAAATACTCCCATAACAATTCTCCTTCAAAACAAGAGCTCTTTTGTCTTATATATACAATTCATTTTTCAATATTCATCCTTATTAGATGTAGATATCTAGAACATCCTTTCTTTGAGAGTAGCACCCGTTTGATGCTTTTTAAAGACGAAAGATGAACTCTCCATTTTTTCTGGATTGCTCTTCAGAAATATCATTCGTAAAACTATAAAGGTGATTAGTTATTTTGAAAGGTGTTCGCATCTGGTTGTAATAGATCTAGGCCTGCAAACAACCAGGTTTAAAGCCCTTGGGGAAATATTATGACGGTCACGTTTTAAAATGCAAAATTTAGTGGAAAAGAGTGGAATTAGCAAGGAATAAAGTTAATAGGCATGTAGTTAACAATCTAAATTGTATAGAAATGCAAGAAAACAGACACTTTATTCAAATTTTAGAGAGAAAAAACAAGGAATGGATGTGGAAAGAGGGAATTGAAGTAAAGGAAGACCTGTCTAAACTAATCAGGACATGTATAAACATAATGAAATATTTTTCCGTGAATGAAAGAAATATCTGATACCCTAACATCAGCGTGCATATCATTGTATGAAAATCATACCTACTAATTTATTTCTTGCGAATTTCTCTTTTTTGTTCCATGTCATGGTAATTTTATTTAATGCGCAGTTAACCTTTTTGTCCGATCGCATATATTATTTCAATACCTCTCTATGGCCACTTTTTGGTTTCATTGTTTCTAAATCTTCCATAGATTGCATTACTACAAAATAAAATACGACTGGTGTTTGTATGAAACAGGTTTCACTGTAATCGTTTTGATGATTTTGCCAGGTATTTTCAAGAGATTCTACTCTCAGAGGCCAGAGGTGTTAGTCTATTTTGCCATTTAGCAGTTCTCATCTGTTATATTATTAGCTAATACTGAGCCAGGATTAAACATAAATACATAATCTTTCATTAAGGTACACTGTGTTACACTTGTGGTAAAATCAGTTAGCAAGTGGTCTCCTTCGGAGAAAAGTATCCGTCTGCTCATGCTTATTTCACTCAATTTCTCTCTAAAATTTGAATGAAGTGTCTGATTTTCTTGCATTTCTATACAATTTAGAGTCTCACCTACATTCCTGTGTATTTTATTTCTTGCTAATTTCACTCCTTTTTACTCTAATTTGCATTTTAAAACATAACAGTCATGGATGTTCTTGTTAGGCAATTATGTAAAGATTTGTAAGAATTCCCATTAATGATGTTACATAAAAATAATGCGTGTTTATCAATTATGGTTTGATAAACATGATGAGGATAATCAACTTTAAGATGTAATAGTTGGGAAAATCTTCTAAAAGAACAAGATATGCTGCACAACCGATATCCAATATGAGAACTATTTACACTCAGGTGATTTCAAATAATTTTAGCATCATATAGTCTTGCTTCATGACCCTGGACCCCCTATCTACTTGTGTGTGTTGGAGAAGTAGATAAGGGGGGGGGGGGGGGATCCATAGTCTTGAAGTAAGACTAAGCATCATGATAATAGATTTCAAAATATTTTCACTTGCATGTATCCAATTTTGTAAATAATGTTATTATTATGTTGCCGACTTAATAATGTTGCCCTTTGTGCTTCCTTCATTTTGGAACGAAGGTTCTAGGAATTGAAATTTTAGATATATGGAATTTTGTTCCATCAGTTGTTACGATTGAGGGGGGGTGTCTGCATATGTTCCATCTCGTCAAATATTGCCCTTTGACTGATCCAGCAGGAAGGAAAAATCAGATATTATTTTCATAATTCCAGATTTTAGAATGCTCAACTGACTTTGGCAGGTGATTAGTTTAAGAGTTTGTTTTTCTTGTTCATTCTAGCTCCATTTTGCTATGTCAAAAATAAAACCTGCTAAGCATGTGTAAAAACAATATATCAGTTACGCGAATATGCCAAAGTCTGTGGATCTACAGATGTATGGAATATCAATGGCAATCTAAAACATGGAAGCGATTTCCAAAATATTTTTGACTCATGTAAAAAATATTACCCTGCTTGAGTTCATTTGCTGGTATATTTCCCTCTGAGTTAAGTCACTTGTTTTACAATTTGAATTTGAACCAATCAGAAGGCTTCACAGCATTCATTTCAGCATGCATTCTATAAAAATACAATGCAATGACCAGTTCTGATTGACTCTGAGGATTTTATTGGTTTATCTGAAATTGAAAGAGTGTTAGAATAATGTATCCCTCTATTCAAGGGTAGTGAATGAGATAATTTGAATAAATGTTTCAAAATTATCATATCACATCCTGCCATATTATTTAACAAGGAAGTCATAAGTGTATCTGACACGCTATTCTGGTGATATTTATTTGATAGATCCACAGCCAAAGATTCAAACACCTGTGCTTTATAAGAAGATCCAAATTATAGGATGAAATTGCAAGAACTTACCTAATACAACGATGATATAACATGAAGGGAACTTTGATTTATGAAGCTTCTGGTTTGTAATTGTTTCTGTATTATAGGGGTTTGTTTTTTGTTTTTGTATTTCTAATGTTACCTTTTGTTACCATGCAATTGAAGGCCTATAGTTCATAAACCAATCTTAACTGATAAAACCAAAATTTGGTATTTCTGAGACTCCAACAGAAAAGTTCTGTGATACAGTACATAATCTTACATAATTATATTTGAAAATCTCATGAGTAAAGTTTTTATTTTGATATACTCAGCAATATACCCGTGTTGTTCAACATTGTTCATTGTGTTTATAGTAGATGTTCTCACACTATCGTGAACTTTAACACAAGGTTGGCAATTTGTTATGTCAACTTTTCCTCACTTCCTGTGAGTTCACAAAAAGGGCTCGTCTTATAGTGGTTGAGTAATATCTTATCAGGCAGGTGTTGAATTATGGCGACAGTGGTTCTCTTTTAAAATGGGAAAGTAGTGGAAAATAGTGGAATTTGCAAGGAAAGGATGTCAGTGTCATTCAGTGTTTTTGATGAATTTCTGCC